GGCGTAGCTCTCCGTATTGCTATCCTGCGGTCGTTACTAAAGTTGGTATAACTAGAGAAACAAGCGGTCGGCAACATTCATCTCTGGAGGGGGGGTCTAACTGGGTGTTACGGTGTGTTTGACCCTAAATTTATTTTACGTCCTGTGCAGGTATGCGGGTCAGGACTGCTCCGATTGGCAGAGCACCAAAGACAGCGGACACGGTGAGAGCGAGGCCGGGGATGTGGATTGGGAACCAGGAAGAGAGTCTCCCATAGACCCCCAGCTGGAGGAGGGGCTCAACAACCTGCTCAACAACCCAGGTACACACACACTGATAAATCGAACCACTGTGTCCTGTAGTTCGTCTAACTCTTGCAAGTGAAACTCTTTGATTCGTCGGGACAAAAGCTGCCGACCTTTGACCTCACTCACTCACAATGGACACACACTGACACATGTAGAAAACAGGAAGAAAACAGGAAATAACAGAGCGGCAGGTTAAAAGTCCACATCCACACACTCCTGCCCGTCTCAAGGGTCTTTGACTCAAACTTCAAATCGTTTTTTAAGTTAAAAGACTCGAATGAAAAGGTCGTCATTGAAGCATCAGGTCACTTTCATGATATTAACAGCTTTGCAAGGTGTTAGCTTTGATTATCATCATGAGTGCGGGCTCATACCCACGTTGGAGTTTTGTACTTGATCCAGATCCTTCATGGACACGCTGCAGCAGTGACGTTATGTCATGTAGACTCAGCAGGTCCTGAAAGATCAGAAAAACTCTCTCACTGCAGAGCTCGACCGTTTCACTCTGTGTGAATTGTAAAATGAATATAGGGTCACATGTGAGCGTAAAAAAAAAATCAGCCGAGGTAACAAATATATTTTCCTGTAAATACCGCAGTGAAGTTAGTTTCAGGTTGGATATATTTTCCTGTAAATACGGCGGTGAAGTTAGTTTTAGGTTGGATATATTTTCCTGTAAATACGGCGGTGAAGTTAGTTTCAGGTTGGATATCTGACGGACATTCTCTGAGGATCTACCGGTGTCTTCTCACTCTCCATAACCGGGAATAACAACAGCAGCGCGGTTAAATCTACTCGGCACCCTCACTGTCAACGCCAGGTGTTAAATAAGGGACCGTCAATAAATTAGTAGTTGATGTTCTCAGAAAAGGCTGTTTTCCTTCAATAGCCTCCATGTCATGTGACCAACTGACCTAAAATTGATTTCAAATTTTCCATTTTATTTTGGAAAACACATTATTTGATCAATTTTCATTGTTCCCCTGAAGTTCTATGTGTGCTCCTTACTTTTTCAACTTAGGAGCACATCTGCTGCGTGTGAAAAAAGTTAGTGTCAAGCTCTGCACTGAGGTCTAACCCTGAAAGATTTTGGCAGAAATTTCATGTCAGTCTTAATTTGTACAGAGCGACTGGAGAAGGAGGGACAGGAGCCCAACGGGCCAGTACCCCCTCCAGTCCAAACCTGCCAGGGTAGACTGTGGATGATGCTATAAACACACATTGTTGGCACATAGCGTTAGTGATAAAGTGGTAGTGATAATCCCAGAGATCAGCTGACTGTCTCTAATTTGAATAATCGAACCCTGACTAAAACCCTTTTCTCTGTTTCAGTCAAAACACGAAGTTAAAACAGCCGAGTCTCGAACTCTCTTTGTTGAACTGGGAGTTCCTCGTCGGTATGTAGGCCAGCTCTTTAAAGCGCCCGAGTGTGTGTGTGTGTGTGTGTGTGTGTGTGTGTGTGTGTGTGTGTGTGTGTACGCTTTCGTGTGTGTTAAACAGTTTCTTCCTGACATTGTGGTGGTCAGAGCCCTGGGGCGAGCGGAGGGGCTTTACCACCTGATGGTGGTCGAGCGAGGCGCACTTTAAGACCGGAGAGAGAGGGAGAGAGAGGGAAACAAAGAGTGAGTGGGAGTGTGTGGTTTATGTGTGTGATGCCTGACTCACCTCTCGCCTGCAGGCTCTATTATCAGTGTAACTCACACCAGAGTCCTGTGACAGCCCTGTGTGTGTGTGTGTTTGTGTGTGTGTGTGTGTGTAGCTCTGATGAAGCCGTTGTAGTCACACATTCCTCCCTCTCTCTCTCTCTCTCTTTTTTCTCACCTGTAACTCCTTCGTCTTCTTCTTCTTCGTCACCATGAATCATACAAACACACACCGCCTCTTTGTTCAGGTCTGAAGATGATGTTACGATGGTGTTGAGAGGTCACTGTATTTCTGTCTTTGTCCTCAGGGGCTCTTCGGTGAGTTATCAAACGTTTAAATTGGTGATGTGTGTCGTCTGTAACCACATTAGAATAGAAAAAATTAGATTTTTCTGCATTTTTGTCAGAGTTTGAAACCAAATTGAGCCTCAAAAGATTCCCACTGCACATCGATATGAAGAGGTTTTAACGTGAAATATTGTGTCTCTCAATGACTCAGCACCAAAGCCAAGCAGAGTATAATTGGTTTGCAACAACAACAACTCATCCTCCTGTAATGTCAATAATGCACACCCTGTGTTAAAGCAACTCATTTCTTTTTAAAGGGTTAATCTGCAGGTTAAACACGTGCATTGGTGATAATGTAACAGCAGATTTTTATCCCTCAAAGGTCTGCAGAGACTCGGCACACTTTGTGATTGAAAGAGTTTTCAGTGTTTGGAGGATCTGTGGTGAGAAACTGCCAAAACAAAAGCAGGAAAGAAGAGAAGGGGGGTGAACTCTGAGGGCAGCCTGTGCCACACTCACTGCATGTGTGTGTGTGTGTGTGTGTGTGTGGGTAACTTTTAATTCTCTGCATCTGGTTGCGGTTAGATGAAGGAGACCGCAGATCTTCAGATCAGTCTGAGCTGAAAGACGGAGCACGTTAAACTTTAACCCAAATACATTCATCTGCATTAAATAAATAATCCTTATATCTGTCTTTAAATCTCATTTTCAGATAAATATTTCACTGATGCTGTGCAGTATGTCTCTGTTTGCAGATTGTTGCACATGCAGAGTTAAAATAAAGCAGGTTAATTCTTTCATCAGTTTATAAATCTCTGTTTCAAACTCCTTCTTTATGTGATGGTCCACATTCTCACAGAGAAGCTCCCTCATGCTTTTTAGATTAAATTATATCAGATGAGACTAAAATAGCTCTGGAAACCACCAGGAAGAAGAGGACATAAACAGGACGAGCCGAGGATAAGATCAGAGAAAACACGAGTGTGAAACAGAAGAAGTTTTTTCTGTGTTTATATTCGCTCCGGTGGTTTTTACAGTAAATGAGAGAATGAAATAAGACGTGTAATCATCTTCGATGTGTTTGTTTGTGACTCAGACGCTCGGTTTGTGCGTCCTCTGTTCTGACACACCCGGCGTTTACGCCTCTGACACTGACTGGAATGTCAGACTGGAGGCAGCCAGCAGGCCGGGAGGTTTTTTTCTCGCTGTGGCGGTGTGGACGTGATGTTTAGCTGTCTGTCGCAGTGCACGGGACGCCACAGATAGCAGGAAAGTCTGTTGACATGCAGCCAGATAAAACCACAGCGCTGCTTCCTTCTCTTCCTGACTCGTTCATGTCCAACAGCCTCAGAGAGGAAAACAGGAGATAACCTGGGATTGGTAATCTGACCTGGAAAGCTGTAGAGAGATAGGAGCAAATTCACTGATTCTTTCAGTCTAATAACAAAATGACACACACACACCTTAAAAAAATTATGTCCCTACTTTAAATATTAAAATCTTTCCAGACTTTGTTTTTATTTCTAAGAGCCGTCATCACAGTGTGGTTGAGGTTTGAAGGGAAAGTTTGTTCAGAGTGGTACTGAAGCTCGAATTAAAGTGTTTTAAAGCTCCCTCAGGAACTTTTGGCTCAGCTCCTATAAACAGAGAACTCTTTGGTGATTTTTGACGGTTAAATGTGAATTTCTTTTGAATGTTTCATTTGGGAAACGTAAAACAGGACCGTTTCTTTAGTTTCACCTTGCAGAGGCTTAAAAATGAACAAATAAAAACCCATCTTCTTGTTATTAATGGTTGAATATCGAAATAATCTTAATAAAACTGTGCTAAATCTAATCTAATTTTATCTAATCTAATCTAATCTCATTTTAACTAAACTAAACTAATCTTACCTATACTTAATTTAACTTAACTCAACTCAACTAAAATACACTTAACTTCTTAACCTAAACTAAACTTTCTAATTTACCTAGACCAATTCAATTCAATCCAATGTAATCTAATCTAATTTTATCTAATATAATCTAACACACACTAAACCAATCTAAAATAAAATAAAATAAACTAACCCAATCTTATCTAAACTAAACTAAACTTACCTTACCTTATCTAAACTAAACTAAATGCAGCTAAACCAACCCAACCTAATCTAATCTGATCTAATCTGATCTAATCTAATCTAATCTAATCTGATCTAATCCAAACATAACATAAACTTTACTATCATAACCTGACCTAACCTTACCTACCCAACCTTATCTTACCTTAACAAAATTAAACTAAACTAAGCCAACCTTATTTAATCTAATCTAATCTAATCTAATCTAATCTAATCTAACCCACACTAAACTAAACTAAACTCGATTTAACTAAACAACACTAAACTTTCCTGTACTATACTAATGTAAGATAACTTAACCTAACCTAAACTCTTGACTTGTCTAATCTTTTAAAAGGATGGGTTCTGGGATATACAGTAGGGTGTCATCTGCGTAAGATTGATACTAGACTCATATTTCTGAATGATCTGACTGAGAACCAGCTTGTTGATGGTGAACTAAAGTGGGCCGAGAATAGATCCCTGAGGTACCCCACAGATGAAAACAAAAGAAGTAAAATCAGTCATGAAGTAAGCTTCACCTTAGTTTGATTTTCTCTCCCTCTCTACAGAAGACGTCTTCTCCGAGGTCTCCGATCCAGCCTGGATGGCCAGACTCTCTCTCCCCCTCACAGCTGATTATCACGATAACGTTTTTGTCCCAAATGGGCCCCCGTCTCCTGAGAGTGAGCTCCTTCCCCGGGACGCCCTGGACTCCTCATCCTTCTCCACTTTTGGTAAAAAAATCAAACTTTGTTCATTTTGAATCAAAAAGGTAAAATAAAAAATGTACAAGATGTTTGATCTACCAAAAAGAGAAATTTCAGCTCCACAGATTTAGGAACTTTTTGATGAAGTGGTATAACTTTAGTCTCCGGTCTGTAAAAAAACATCAGAGTGATACCTCCCTCTCCTCTTCCTCCTCTCAGGTAAAACTCCAGAGAAGGACGGCCCACTGGGCGGGGCTCTCCTGTCTGAGGTCAGCACGCTCTTTGAGATGCTGATGACGCAGAAAGCCGACGCCCACCCCGGCCCGCGGCCTGACGTCCTGTACCGGCTCTCTGCGGCGTACCGGCGCTCGCTGGGCCTGGACGGGACCGCAAGTACCGCAACAAGCAACACAGCAAAGAACTCTGGGAGCTCTGAGAAGAGGTCGGGCCTGGCTCCGCCCTCAGGATTTTTTCAATGAGTGTAAACTTTGTTGGTTGGACACTGGAGAAGAGTCTATGTAGGGTTGTTTGTGAGGCATTATGGGAAAATATACTTTATCATAATTTGAATGACTGCAACTGTAAATAGTAGTGCTCGGATTAATCCTTATTTTGTAAAATATGAACTGAAATGTAAAGGAGGAGTGACTCTTACACCTGTGTCACTGTCAGAGGACTGAAGGTAGAGAGGAGGGGAAATGTCGTGGAAAGTTGAAGGTAGCAGAGCAGATCTGTCATCTGTGACAATCCAGCCTTCCAAGTCCTGAAACAGCTCGAAACACTGATTTTGGGAAGGGTCCGAACAGACATGAACTGCCTTAAAAAAGTTGGTTCTGTGCCGTGATTTTGGGCTCTACAAGCTCCCAGGGAAACTTTATTTTTCTACCGTTATTATCCAAATTAATAATCTAATTCATAAACTAGGAGTCCAAAAAAACAAACATCAAAAACTCCCGACCTGAGAGAGAGAAGTCTGTTAATGACGAACCCGTGGTCACATCTAATCTGAGTCTGATAACATCGACATGAGATGGAGTTACAATAAAAGTTCGTTTCCACCCGTGACAAAAAAAAAGATCTCAAACATTTTTTTTTTAAGATTAAAATTTATAATTTAAAATAAAAAAATTTAAATTATGAGATTGTCAAATTAATAAGAAAAGCAAGTCATCAACATGAGATACAAAAATAAAAAACCATGAGTTAAAATGTCAGAATTATATCTTTATTCTGAGATTAACATCAGAGTTATGACTTTAATCTCAGAATCCAAAATTGAGTTTCAGAATTCTATTTTTTTATGTTAATTTTGTGTCTCAGAATTTTAACATTAAAATGTTCAATGTGACCTCAACCTCAAATTTCTGAGACTCAAAACTTTAATCTGAGAAATCTGAAAAAAATCAAATTCTGAGATTAATGTCAAAGTTATGACTTTAATCTCAGAATCAGAAGTGGAGTTTCAGAATTCAGATTATTTTTAATATTAAATTTTGTGTCTCAGAATTTTAAGATTAAAGTCTGAATTCTGACCTTAACCTCAAAATTCTGAGACTCAAAACTTTAATCCTGGTGATCTACAAAAAAAATACTAAAAAATTCTTAGATTAAAGTCAGATTTTGGACTTTAATCTCAGATTTATAAGATTTAAAACTGATTTCTGAGTTTAATCTGAGAATTCTCATTTTTCAAACTCTGAGATTAAAGTCAGACGTCTCAGAATCTGAGATTTTTGTCAGAATTTTAACCTCAACCTCAAAATTCGGAGAATTTAGATTTGAGTTTTAAGTCCGAATTCTGACTTTAAACCTAGAAATTTGAGGTCTGGGTTAAAATTCTGACATAAATTCTTTAATTTTGACATTTCAGTCAAAATTTTTTAACTTTTTCTGAGAAGACAAGACGATCAAAAAAGATTTGACCTCATTTTTTTTTCTTTCTTTTTTGTTTTGTTTGTGGTTCTAACTCATTTCAGCAGTTTTTTTGCGCTGTCATCGAGCTTTAAAGAAAAGAGAAAGTGGAAACTGAAAAGGGCAGGAGGAAACACTTGGATATTTGATATTTGAAGCAACAGGAATGTAAAAAGGAACAAAAGCAGATTTTTTTGTGAAGGAAAACAGGAGGTGAAGTGGGAAATTTGATCGAAGTAGAAAAAAAACAAACTTTCTTAGTAAATCTGAAGGTTGAGAAACTGGATCGCTCAGAAATAAGGAACAGAGTCGATCGTGTTTCACAGACGGAGCGTCAGACAGGACGTTATAAACTTGGCTGCAGGTTTGTTTCTTTGGCTGTCAGAAAACGAGCCGGCGAGGAAAAGGAGGAAATGTGGCTTTGTCTTTTTGTTTTTCCTCAAGACTAAACAGAAATGTGCTGAATGTAGAAAAGAAAACCTGTTTGTCGACGGAAGAAACGCTCAGACCTCCTTTATTTAAGGACCCAAACATCCTCCCCCCTGATGTCTCTGGAGACTTTTACAGGATTGTGAAAAAACTGTTAAAGCTCAAATCATTTCTTTTTGCAAACCAGACGAACAGCACTTTGTAAATATTTTTATACAACTTTTTTTTTTTTATCAAGAAATCTGTTTTTATGTTGAAACGTCTTTTTAAAATCTTTTTCAATAAAGTTTTTTACTGATTTTTTAAAGAAATTCTGATGTTTTTGTGTCATTTCAACTGAAAAAAAGATCATTTTATGTCAACTAGTATGTGTGAACTTGTGATTCTACGCTCTGTGAAAGCATGCAGTGTGTGTGTGTTCGTGTGTGTGTGTGTGTGTGTTTGTGTGTGTGTGTCATGTCCACAAACATCTGCACACATTATGGGGACTCGCTTTCTTCTGGACTCATAAATGAGTTCTTTTTGGGTGATTTTCTTTGTTTAGAGCACCATCTAGTGGTTAAAAGACCCTTTACAATAAGAAGGATTTATAGACTGACATCCAAAACAACAGCAGCACCACCTGGTGGCAGCTTGAGGTAAAAAAGGAGCACAAAATGACTTGGTGGTTCACTCTCTGTTTTCTTCATATCAGGGTGTTTAAGGCAGAAACAGACTGAAGCTAACGTTGATCACATCCTGAAAGGTTGTTTTGGTGTGTGTCTGTAAAGACGAGTGACACTCTCCAAGGATGATGAGCAGGGATGAGGGGGAACACATGCTCTCACACAGTGAGCTGTGCCCACCCTGGACTAAAGGCAAAATTTTCTATTAATTTGATTTGGGGTTTGTTTTTCCTGTCAGAGTGGTCATCTTCAGTTAATCCCATCTATCTTGACATGTCAATCAATCCAACCAATCCAATCGATCGAAGGCAACATGTTAGCCAATTACAGGTAAAGGGGGGCGGGCCATTTACAGAGTTAAAGTTCTCGGCGGGGTGGAAGGCAGACTCGCAGGTTACAATTGCACAAATGGTCATCAGAGGTTTTTTTATATGTCAAAAAAGGATTGACGGGAGCAAGCAGGAAGTAGCAGCGGAGTAAACTTCAATGGTAGCAGAGGGAGGAGCAGCAGCGAGGTCCTGGAGCAGCGTTCTGCAGAGGCGAACAGAGAGCGGAAGGCGTGACCGAAAAAAACAGGAGGGTCACGCCTCCACAACGCCAGCTGATACCGAGTGACACTCCTGAGGAAGGCAGAAGATGTCAAAGTACGTGAAAAAATGTACATCTGAGAAAACTAGGAAACTGAGGACATAATGAACATCATTCAACAGATGAAGATCATGTTCTGACCAACTGTGCAGGGATCAAGCAGGAGTGTCTGCCTGGTACTTGGTTTAATTTCATGTCTTTTTTTTTCATCTTTGAATCGTAGCGCAGAGTTGAATAAATCTGTTTTTGTTTTTTTATTCTCTGCACAGTTTGAAGAGTCGCCCCCGTCCAGCAGGGACTAAACCACCTCTGCAAATGATCTACAAAGATATTCTAACACCGACTTCACACTGTGGAACACCTGCCTGCAGATGGCAAGCTTTCAGGCACTGAAATACGACCCGGTGGAGCGTTTACTGACGAGTGCCTCCGCTGGTCGACTGAGGTACCACACAGGCCTTTGGTATGACTCATGGAGAAATATAAATGCTAAATATGACTCTTACTGATCACAAAATTCAGTTTTAACACATTAACATTTTAGACGAGAACATAGTTGTTTAAATATAAAATGTGCCGTTACTTTACCTTGAGAGGACTGATCCCTCGTTTTGGAGATCGGTACATCGCCGCTACAGGAGGAGCTTTAAAGAGCTGCTGCTTGTGCCACCTGGTACCGGTGTCACCCAGCTGTTGCGCTAAATAAAACAACAAAAAGATCCAAACGTAAGAGCAGCTGATGTGTTCTACCTTTGCCACTCTGTCTTTAGTTGTGAAGACATCTGCGTGCACGTGATCGACATAAAACACATTATTTAATCCCATTTGTGGTGCATGAGAATTTAATGTGTATTCAAATGGTGTTAAAAGTTAATTTGGTGATCGGTAAGAGTCGTATTTAGCATTTATATTTCTCCATGAGTCATACCAAAGGCCCGTGTGGTACCTCAGTCGACCAGCGGGGGCACTCGTCAGTAAACGCTCCACCGGGTCGTATTTCAGTGCATGAAAAAATGACCCATTAGGTCGTAGTGGATTGGAGGAGTTGTTGTTACAACTACCTGACTGTGATTACCTGTGTTCCCAGGTGTGCAGGTGAGAGCAGCAGCAGCAGCAGCAGCAACAGCAACAACAACAACAACAGCAGCAGCAGCAGCAGCGTTCATATGCACCACCCTCCTCACTTACCCCTAAATGAAACTAAAGCGTGCTTCAAAACTACATCTTCTTCTTGTCTCCAGGACTAATTTTCAGTCTTCCTCAGTTTTTACTCCGCTAAACTCCTCCGTTGTCTTTTTTGTCACTGATGAAGCTGTTTTCTTGCTTTTTCAGTTACCTCAGCCTGCAGGAGTTCACTTCTTTCTTTCTTTAGTAACTTTTCTCAGGACACGCGGATGTGCTCTGAGCGTTTAAGCCGCCTCAGTCTGCAGAGAAAATATTAATTCATAAGACAAAGCGGTCCTTTTTAGATTAACTGCTGCACAAAAAGAGCAAAACAAACACTTTCCCACTTTGTTTCTCCCCCCTGCAGACGGAGAGAAATCAGGTAGGAGAGGGAGCAGCGGCCCCGAGGCAGGAAATAGATCTGGAAGCTGCTAATGCACAGGCTGCTATTGAATGTGCCACCTGTGAGTTAGTGGGTACGAGAGGAACCTAAAAATCCAATAAAAACTCGATTAAAACAACAGCAGTGTTTTATTTGTGAAGCCCAATAATACGAGCCGAGCATAAACTCATTTCTGGTAGCAGTGTGAAGATGTTTGGTCCACAGAGTGAGTCCCAGGAGAGCGAGGAGAAGTAGATTCACCTGCTGCTGGATGAAACACAGCCCCGCGAACCCTCCGTGGAAATGTGGAAAGAAAGGATAAATAAAAGCAGCGCACGGAAACAGTGTCGAACAACAGGTGTTTAATTTTGTTCCAGTCATTTCACAAGATAAAAGAGGCCGAATATCATTTAAAGCCGAGGAAATAAACGGCTGTTTGCATTAAGAAGGAGACGAGGAAAAGAAAAGATCTTGTGTTTGTGATTCATTTACACCAATACATGTTTTTTTTTCTTCATATTAGGGGATTCTGCACCTCTCTGTGGTTATTAATTATACCTTTTATGAGTTTCAGGTGGGCTGGATGAAGAAATGCGCGCAGAAAAAGAAACACAGGGCCTTTATGTTTTATACTCCGCTGTACATTTTCCACTGATAAGCAAGCTTTGAGTGAATTTAGAATACATTTGCATATTTAAGCTCAAAGACTGACATGAAAAGGCTTTTTATGTTTGCATCCTGCTGAAATAAATTGTTCCAAGATTGAAAAGATTAAAGGGTTACAGTCGAACAATGCTTTCACAAACGGCTCGCTGACAGACTTTAAAGAGTGAATGTTCTCCTGGAGCGGCTGCTGATTGGTCAGAAACATGTTTGATCACATTACTCACTTTTCACTTTTCTGCCTAAAACGTTTGAAAATCTCTCATATTTGTTTAGTTTTTCTCATGCTCATCATCAATTTAACTGTAAAGTCTGTCTGCAGGATTCTGGATCATTATAGCGTAATACATAATGTTTCCAGTCTAAGTAACATGCTGTCCAATCAGGAATGAGCACACTTCGGCGTTTAATACTCCTCAGCCACACTAAATTAAAGGTGTGTTTTAGTTTATGGAGTAAACAGAGAAATCTGTAAAAACAATCTAAAAGTAGGATCTAAGTAAATCAAAGAAAGAATGAAAGAATGAAAAACAGTCTACGGACAGCAAAAACAGGCAGAAATCTATTTACCTCTGTTAAAGTCATGGTTGATGATTGTAGAGATTGGTAATTATGAACCTCGTTTCTATGGCGATCATGGTCCTATAGTGTGATCTCCACAAAGTGAAGAAAGAACTGAAATATTCTGTTCACCCTATCAGGTGCAGGGCTGCAAAAACATTGACCAATGGGAGCCATCCGTCCCGGACAGCTACTATTGGTCCATCTCCATCCAATCACCTCGCTGGATTCGACACACCCCTCTCCTGTAGTTCCGACTCATCCCCTCCCACTCTCCCGGCCCGGGGTGACACAGCTCAAGGAAGAACATATATGAACATTTCTTGATGGAAATACAATCAGACCGAGACGCTAAGACAAAAGAACTACCGCGTCTGTAAAATGATTAATATGATGATTATTGATCATAAATGTTCTTCCTTGAGCTGCGTCACCCCGCTGTAGTCCGTAATGGACTGGCCTGAGGTCTTGTTACAAACAAGCGGCTGCTGGAAGAGAGTAGGTGAGTTGTGTTTAGTCTCTTTGCTAAAGAAATGAGTCAAAGTTAAAAAGATGTTTGGTGTCTAGTACTATGGCTGTGACCCTATATGTCCTGTTGATGAAGTTAGGTGCTGTTCTGAGCATTATTTGTGGCTATAGAGTGGCGTTTTGGTTGAGCGTGTGGTTCTCTGTATTACTATCCTGCGGTCGTTACTAAAGTTGGTATAACTAGAGAAGCAAGCTGTTTGCAACATTCATCTCTCGACAGAGTGTCTAATTCGGTGTCACGGTGTGTTTGACCCTAAATTAATTTTACACCAGAATATCCCTTTAGGTTGATTCAAAGCCTTTCAAATTAAAAGCGATTACACTTGGAGGTACGTACTTTTACCTAAGACAAAAATACAAAACGGGATGACCACTTCAAACAAACCGGAGCGCCGTTCCTCTCAGTGGAGGTCCGCAGTCAGACCGCTCTAAAAGTGTTGGCCCGTTAAATGACCCAAAAATCACCTTTAATAAGATGCAAACAGAGCGTCACCACTGCAGGCAAGACTTCCCATCCAGCCCCTGCAACTCACATGCAACCAAAACACACTGGCTACCTCGTGTACTTCCTAAAACCCACAGCTTACACTCACAGAACTGTAAAACAAAATAGAAGTGTTTTGTAGTGTGTAACTCTTGTCAAAGCGCTGGTGGGTTTTGGCCTCCAGGCTTGCCGTAGGCTCCTTCTTTGAGCTGAGTTTTTGCTGTTTAGTCTCTGCACTCGTCCTCTAAAAGTGCTGTACATTTCTTCAGCTCAGGCAGAAATTATTGATTATTTGGGCCAAAAATCCTGCCAAGAGCCGGACCAAAACAGAACAGTCTGTTTTTTTTTTTTTACCCCCTGTTACTTAAAATTCGGCCGAACATTGCATCTTCCAGAAGTGAGCACAACTTCTGAAGAAAGCGTTTGTTCATGTATTTTTAACAACTTCTACTTTTTTATCTCTACATATTATATCTGTCTTTGTTTTATCGCTGTTTGATATTGTTTTTAAGTTCGCAGGATGACTGAGAGGTTGTGAAATTTTACGTTTGAGCTTCGTCGAGCTTGATCACTCTCTGTGTAACTCACGGTTTTATGGAACAAATAAACTATTCAGTCCAACATTGATCAACAGAAACAAGCCGATCGATGTAGGAGGATCACAGAGAAATGCAAACAACAGCAAAACACAAACAGAATCTCAAATTCAGAAAGGAGGCAACATAAAAGCTTCAGTGGAGGAGATGTGCAAAATAAATCCACATCCAAAAATCCTGTTCATGACGTTTGTGTTGGAGCTCGTCTGTGCAGATCTTTTTAGGTCTATAAGTGGATCTGAATCTTTATAAACTGTCAGGATTCAGCCTGCTTACCAGAGGTGGGGGCTTGAAGACTCGACTTGAGACTCGACTTGGACTAGAGTCCCGTTTTTGACTTCCTTGATGAAATCAAGAAAAAAGTCTTTTCAAGTCACTTAATACCTTACAGCCCAAACCGTTTAAAAAGTGTCGCATCAACTAATAGTCAGGAATGACGGCCGTTGGTAACACCGTGTTGTGTTGCCATGTCTGCTTATTCCCCTCAAAAAAAAATTTGCTTGTTTTTGTCTTGTTTCTGGAGGTCTGTTAACTTATTTCTCTCACCAAACTTGGCAACACTGTCTCAAACTCTAGCCTCCCTCATAACGACAACACCGGGAGGACTGAACATAAATCGCTCGCTGGTATTGCCCGCCTGTTTCCACGTGTTTCCTCGTGTCTCTCTTTTGTTTTGTTTTGGAACAGTGAATTAGAGAATCAGTTTAATGTTTAATTGTATTTGAGTCTTCCTTATTTTTGTGCACATTGTTTAAGTTTCCAGTTATTGAAGTTTATCTGATTATTTTTTGTATGACATGTAAAATAGTTTGGTTAAAGCTGCACTATGTAACTTAACACAAACAAGAACCCTTGTTTAATAATAAATGCAAATAGGGAAAAATGCTCATGATTTATGTAAATCTTTACAAATAACAAATGGTTTATGGCTTTGATATGACTTATTTTTGACTTGAAAGAAACAGTAAGGACTTGGTTGGGACTCGAAACAAAAAGTTCAAGACTTGGACTTGACTTGAAACTTGTCTGTGTTGACTTGGACTTGACTGGAGACTTGAGAGCAAAGACTTGAGACTTGACTTGGACTTACAACATAAGGACTTTCCCCCACCTCTGCTGCTTACTGTAATTTAAGTCTCCATCATATAAGTGAGTCCACAACCTCAAAGGTGAATCAGAGGTGGAGAGGACTGTGAAGGAGGCGTGAGAGAAAATGATGGGCCGGAGCAAACACGCCATGACTTCTGGAAATAAAGCAGCAGTGTTATATTTTCCTTAAAATAAAACAGAGAATAGAAAATGGGTTTAAGTTAATGTAAAAAAAATGCAGAACAGACCAGAGGGGAGATAAAGACAAAGAAAAAAGATGTGCTGCAATAATAAAATAAACCAACGTTTGTACACATGCATTATTTGTTAATGGGATCCAATATTATGTCGACTGCTATTCAGGGCGCTCCACAGTTCGTTTTAATCCTGCAGGTGCTTCCTATGACTGTAACTGCGCGGCTTCAATCCGCTGATCGTCTTTGGAGGAACAAAAATAGTCCAGCGTCAACCCAGCAGTGGTGTAATGTTAAAATGAGCTCTCTCTAAGAGGCTGTTTCAGCCTGTCTTATGACTCTGATTTTCTCTGATGTGACTGTGAAGTGCTCTGTGATGGGAGTTCAGCGGCTCATTTCGCTCTTACCGTTTCTGAATGTTTGCTCATTTAACGCCGTTTCCTGCTTTAGTCGTTCTGACGAATCACAGTAAGCATCGCTCTTACCCTGATAACTCACCTGCAGTTTGTTTTCTAACTCCTGTTTCCATGCAATAAATAAAGTCGAGCTCTCATATTTCTGTCAGGTCTTCCACAGAAATGAGTTCAGGTGCAAGGCCTTTTTTTTTGTTTTGTTTGTTTTAGCATCTTCATCATGTTTGGATAAAGTATTTTACTGTTTCCAGGCTTTTTGCATGAGGTACTTCTGCAGCCATGAACCAAATCTCCCATCACCTGTGCCTCCCCTGTAGCTTTTATCCTGCAAAATATTTTATATGTAAATATGAGTAAAAGTGGCCGAGAGATAAACTCTGAACTATCATCCCCACTCTGATTCAGTGCTGCTGCAACTGCAAGAAACACTGGAGGGCAGCAGCAGCCTGTGCATGAAAGAGAGCAGCTTCAAAATCTGAGACTCAGACCAGGAGGAGTGGAGTTCAGGTTTTTCTCTCCAGGGTCTTCTTACAGACACAGATGGGGGGTTTGACAGGTAACAGGTCTTTACCAATCAGTGATCAATCAGCCAAGATAATTCTGCATCTGAAAATACTCCAGTGAAAAAAACAGATTGTGAGGGAAGAGAAAGGTGCATCATTCCCCGTGTTTATGATAGAGAGGGAATTTTTAACAGGGAATTTGGAGCACAAGGTGGACAATCATCATCATCATCCTCATCATCATCATCATCATCATCATCATCATCATCATCATCATCATCATCATCTTCATCATCATCATAATGGTTTGGTGATCATCATCATCCTCTTCATCATACTGAATATCATCATCATCATACTGATCATTATTTTCATCCTAATCATTATCATCATCATCATCATCATCATCATCATCATCATCATCATCATCATCATCATCATATTGATCATTGTCATCATCCTCTCCATCACTATCATCCTCATCATCCTACTAATCATTATTTTCATCCTAAAAATTATCATCATCATCATTCTCTTCATCTTCTTCATCATCATCATAATCATATTGATCATTTTCATCATCCTTATAATTATCCTCATCATCAAACTGATTATTATTATTATTATTATTATTATTATTATTATTATTATTATCCTAATCATTATCATCAACATTCTCTTCATCCTCATCTTCATACTGATCATAATCATCATCCTCTTCATCATCCTCATTTTGTTTATCCTCCTCCTCATCATCATACTGATCATTATCATCATTATCATCATCCTCATAATCATCATCTTCATCATCATACTGATCACTATTATCACTCTAATTGTTACCATCATCATCATTCTCTTTATCTCCTTCATCATACTGATCATTATCATCATCATCACCCTCATCATCATATCAATCATCATCCTCATCCTCATAATAAATATCCTCATCATCCTAATAAATATCATCCTCCTCATCATCACTATACTTATCATTATAATCATCATAATTATCATTAAAATCATCATCCTACTAATCATTATTTTCACCCTAATAATTATCATCATCATCATTCTCTTCATCTTCTTCTTCATCATCATAATCATATTGATCATTATCATCACCCTTATAATTATCCTCATCATCAAACTGATTATTATTATTATTATTATTATTATTATTATTATTATTATTATTATTATTATTATTATCATCAACATTCTCTTCATCCTCATCTTCATACTGATCATAATCATCATCCTCTTCATCATCCTCATTAATATCATCATCATCATCATTCTCTTTATCCCCTTCATCATACTGATCATTATCATCATCATCACCCTCATCATCATATCAATCATCATCCCCTTCATCATACTGATCATTATCATCATCCTCATCCTCATAATAAATATCATCCTCCTCATCATCACTATACTTATCATTATAATCATCATAATTATCATTAAAATCATCACCCTCATCATCACCCTCATCTTCATCGTCAGCAGCTCTGTCATTTTAAAAACACTAACCAGAGACAGCAGCTCCAGCTCTGCCCTAATAATCCTTTTTTTTAATATGAGATGTTCTCAGATGTTACTGTCAGCTCCCCGCTGGGAACTGCAGTCAGGATGGACCTGTTTACAGCTGTTACCGTGGCAACAGCATATGGACGGGACAACCAGATTGGCCTTGTGTGTTTGCTGAGACGATGGTCAGGCTGCATATTTCTAAAAAGGACCGGCGATGAAAAAACATGTTTTTTTTTTCTTCTGTTTGTTTGTTGTTTTTATTTAGATGACGGGGAACATTTTACCGACCAGTTTCTCCAAAAATGAAACAAAAATCTCCGATCAAAGTGAACAAGACGGAGGTGGCCTCCAGCTTCAAACACAACATGACTGCATTTGTTGTCAGCATTCAAAGGAAGCTATGAAAGAAGAAAACGGAGGACCGTAGTGACTGCTCCAGGTAGACATGTCGAGAGGCATCTTCTTTTTAAAGTACATAAAAAAACGAAAAGAGTTGATTTGTTGAATCATCTCTCCGTACTCCAAACTCTCTTCAGTGTCTCTCGGTCTTGTTGCTCAAAGCCGTCTTTTCATTAGTCATGAAACTGTTGTTCAACAAACACAAATAAAAACAGAAACTTTTATTTGTGCCACTTCCTGTTTTCAGAGCAAAGACACTGACTGCATCAGCCGATCAGTTATCACTTTTAGATTTCACTTTTTTGTCCACCAAGGTAGGTGTGTAAAACCACCTGAATCAAGAATCGTCAATAACTGGAAGATAAACAGTCATTAATAGTTGAAGGATTAAACCTGATACCAGATTAATTCTTCTGATATATTTGGTTAAAACGCTCTCCTGAATTTTTAAATCTTTCTTTTTTAGAAAAGCGGAAATTTCCCCGGATTCGTGACCTTATCAGGCGAGGAAACTCACATACTCTGGTCGACTCGCCCAGCAGCGACTTTCACTGCCAGGTTAAATCACTGCGTGTGACAGGTGGCTGACAGGCAAAACACACAAAACAAACGGCAAAACACACACACACATACACACACGATGCCGAGGAATACGTCCAACTGCAGGGACAGATGCAAATGGCTGGCTGCCTGGAACAGCGTCGATGCTAACGGCTGCTACGCTCCACGGATAGATCTGCTGTTAGCTCCTGTGTTTGTCAAAAAGACGTCAGAACAGCTGCAGAGAAATCAGCTCCGAAAATCAACGTCAGCTGCAGGGGAAGGATGCTGCCTCCTCTTTTCCACCCTACAAACAAACTATTTCATTCTTGATTCAAACTAGTCTTTATTTTTTTAAACTTTGACGACTTTACCACGGTGTTTGGTGTCGTTTTTCAGCCCCAGGTAACGCCTGTGTTGTTCCATCAGTCTGAACGCTCTCAAACATATTCCCCAAGCCGTGTTTAGAAATGTTTGGGTGACCGCAGCCTGTATAAAGAAGTGAAATAGCCTCCAGGTATGAATGCATGTTACTTTAGATTTTCTGAATGAGGCGACTGGGGGTGTTTATAAAGTGAAGTGTGCCATAAAAGTGTAGAAGCTGCAGCACCTTCACGACAATGTTCAGAAACGGGAAAGAAAATAATAGATTTCTCAACTTTATTGGATTAAAACGAAAGCGTGAAAACTCACAGTTTGAACACATGAATCAGACATACTTAAAGCCGTGGTGTAACATCTACTTGCTGATTCGTGGAGACCTTCCATCACGCCGTCTGGGTTCGCAACTCACTTTGAGATTTCAGACTCCTGGGGTCTCTTTTGTAAACGCTTGTTACGACCCGGGAGAATGGTTAGGGGAAGATGGGAAGTAACAATAAATTAAAACGGGCAGGAGAGACTAAATGAAGAGTGGGAAACAGGGAATCAGAATAATTGAGTAATTTATTTACAATCAAAAACGAAAAACAAAAAGATCAAACAACTAAAAGCGAGCATGAGGCCGGTTATAAGAAACACCACAGGCTCCTGCCACCGGAAAACCTGGACTTCAAAAAACACCAAAACGCACAAGAGTGAAACACAGTCAACAATCGGGTGGTCTGCAAAGTTAATCAAAGTTAGTTAATTTCATGAGAAAATACGAGCGTGTCATCCCTTCAATATTTCACCATCTTTGATTGGCTTGTTTCTTGAAATCACAGAGGTAAAAACAGACATTAACCCGCCGGTTAAACTCACAAAGACTTCGTCCAGTTTCAGGTCGGGTAACTGTTGCACCATTTGCACAGAGCATGTAAAGTGAATGTTCATGTATTAATCCAACTATACTGGGTGGTATAGAAACAGGAGCTCTGCATAATGGTTTCAACCCTTCATTTTTTGCAGTGGTTACTTGGAAACCCACTGAGAATGTTTTGGTCGAATAGACGTCTAAATGTAGACTAGACGACTGATCTAAAATCAGGCTACTTCACGTCTAAAAATGAAAGTTTTTTAGACATTTAGACTAAATCTAAATCTGGTCTATCTCTATACTACACTGTATATTGCTCAACAGCCATCATAATTATTTTGGTTAAGTACTTTGAGATCGGTTTTGTTACTCACAGTTGCTTTCTGAAATAAATAGTTATGGACTAATGGGTTAAAATGCAACGTCTAAATCTCGTCTAAAAATACACAGAATCTAGACGGTTGAAATTAGGTCTAAAAAAAACCCTCAAATTGCTCAGTGTTAAGATTTAAGAGCAAAGGCAGCCTCTGTAATATACAATTATTTAAGGTTTCATAGAAACGACTGAAAGCGTGGGACGAATAAGAAAGAAGAAACCACATGAAATAATCCTTCTATCGTCCTCCACGCCTCCCTGAGACTACATGTTGGATATCATGACCAAACACTCCGATATCTGTCAGCCTTTGTTTGCACCAAGAGTTGAAATGAAAGCAGAAACAGACTTCGTATTCTTCGTGTGCCAAGTCGAGTTCACTGAGAGAGGCACGAACGGGAACAGCTGGAGGTGACTTGAATAAACCATCTCCAGCGTTTCTTCCAAGAACTCGAGCGAGATGAAACTGAATCAGAGATGGAGATGAAGAAGCAGAATCTCTTCAAGTCTTCTCGAAGTGGATGACAGGGCGGGGACGTTCAACATCCTCATGAAACTAAATCCAGATCATGATGAATGCTATCTGCTTCTATTGGACTCGTGACGTTGTAGGAAGATTTGAAATACAGCGTAGTTAAGGTCGACCTTCCAGCGCAGGACTTCTTGAAGACCCTCGAAACCTGAACAGACATAGACCAGCTACAACGGAGATTAAAAACCCACTTCAATGACAATCATGTTTTTCTTGTTTTTTACATGTTCATATATTTATTTTTCTGACGCTACAGGACATATCATGAGGGAAAAATAAGCGCGAAACTGCCAAACTCGGAGAAGAGAGAGGAAGATCGCGGAGTGTGCAGAGCAGCGCTGTCTCCGCCCACGACTCAGAGGCGAATTACTAATGATCTACTGAAGAAGGCTGTGTCCAAAATGGATCCCTAACCTTCATATAGGCGACTATATGGGGGTTAACGGCATTTTGAGGGGTGTCCGAAACCTGAGGGATCAATTCCAATGCCCCATATAGGCGACTCAAAATTCACCTATAGAGCATTGCAAAATGTAGTTACCATCCGATGGTCACTCACCGGTGGTCGGCATCCTATCATGAATTGAGTGATGCGTCATGCAAGCAAGAAGAGACAGAACCCGAGCTCTATTTGTCATTTTCAGCGTAAGTTTTTTATCGTCACTTCACTCACAAGTTTTCGAGAAACAATTGTTTACTGCGTGATAAAGTCTCGTGCAACAATATGACGCAGCAAACAATATTCAGCATGAAAATATAAGGCCTTTTAAATAAATTATTAATTTATTGTTATTTTATTTTTTTATTTTTTCATTTCACGAACATCCTGGAAAAACAAACACATCTATACAACATCAAAAAATTCAAGAGATGTGAAAACAACAGACGCAACTTCAGACGCAGCAGTCTGAGCAGTGACGTGACAACGGTGCGTCGTGTAGTGTCTGAAATGTTCTTTGATTGAGCTCACGACATAGTCAGATATATAGTGACTCAGATAACATGATTGTTTGGAGAATTTTGGGGTTGGGCATCCCTACAGTGATTTTGGCTAAAAACTTCAGAATCACAGTTTAAAGACCACTGAGAAAACTTTAAGTAGTGAAAAGAAAAACGATCGGAGTAGAACTTAAAACTGTTTGTAAATGTTTCCTTGAACCAGGCTGTAGAAATGAACATTTTATTACATTTCCACTCCTTAAATTTGATCTCACTGAATCAATCACATCTATACAAAGAAGCTGCATTAGCTACCTTGATTGTAATTTGACATCGCCGCCATATTGGTGAGGGCATTTTGGGGCGGCAGTAGCTCAGGAGGTAGAGCGGTCGTCCAATAACCAGAAGGTTGGCGGTTCGATTCCCCCCTATGCTGAGTCTGTCTGTTGTGTCTTTGGGCAAGACACTTAACCCACCTTTCTCCCAGTGTGTGTCCTCACTGGTGTATGATTGTCAGTGTGTTGTGCTGGTCGGAGAGGCTGTAGGCGCAGCCATGTTTCCTTCAGTCTGCCCCAGGACAGCTGTGACTACTAAGGTAGTTTACCACCACCAGGGTGTGACTGTGCGAGCGAATGAATGATGTATCCAATGTAAAGCACTTTGAGGGTCTCTGATGAAGCGCTACATGAAATCTGAGTGTCGTTTAATGACCGTACTGGTTTGGTGAACACACTGACCTATCCTGTCTTGTCAAAGTTATAAAACATTAAACACAGATCCGTCTGTTTTCTTCAAAAGTCTGCAGTTTTGTTTTTTTTTTCTTCCACCAAACCTCCACCAGATGAATCCTCTGATAAGACGCACGCGCAGCCTCAGAGGATGAACCGATCCGACTTCCCTCTGCTCAGAAAGCTCCTTTCACTCAGAACTGAAATCGTGATCTTGAGCTGTTAAAACTGCAGATAAACCGGCTTCAAAAGCAGCTCTGTTTCAGAGCGAAGTGAGTCACAAATATGTGGATAAGATGGCACAAGAGTCAAATAGACGCCTGAAGGAACGAGCGGACGTGGAGAGACGAAAAAATGTCTGCTGTGTCGAATTAGCATGTTGGTTTTTTGTTGTTTGTTGGAGATAAATGTTGATTTACTCTCCGGGGTTCCACAGTCTGAGAAAAGCCCGGACGAGTTTTTTTTTCACATGTGGGGTCAAATGTTGTAAAGCTCAGTGACAGAGCACACTGTGGTCAAACACCAGCGGCTAGCAGGCAATTTACTCCACACCAACATTTATTAGAGGCTAAGCTGCTGCTGCTGATGGAGGTTTATCTTCCAGGTTCGCTTCTGTCTCCCTGATCCTCCGCTCAGACCTCCTCCTTCTCGTCTTTGTCTCTCCTCATCCCTCTCTGCTAACTCCGACTCCAAAATGCTCTTTTTTTTTTTTCTTTACTGTATCGAACGTTTCTGATGTCGGATTTTTTTTGGCGTCTTTTTCTCATTTCAGATGTCTGCTGCTTTACAAAGCCTGTTTATCAGAGTGAATTGACATTTCATTTTCATTTCGTAACTCAGTGAGACAGATCCATCCCGCTGACATCCCTTTCTGCACACAGAAAATGTGGTAGCAATTTGAGGGGGCAGTTAGTGTTTGTGATGTTGATTGAAGTATTATGTCTATTTGAGAGTTTTCTGAACCATTCATGCTCTTCGTCACAATCTTCGTCTCTCGGGAGGTGGAAAAAGTACATCCTCGTTCTCAGGGAATGAATCTGCTGGTATTGAACTTGGTGTTTGAATGACTAACATGTACAGAAAGCTTCTGAAAGCTGTCAGGTTGTGTATTATCTACAACTTGAAGGCGAATGCGACTATTAAAAAGAGACCCCATCTCTGATTCTGATATTGAAATGCTCAGATTGTTATCCGTCCATATAGATGTAGACGCTCATATTCGAGGAGGAGAGACAGCTACTTCCTCTGAAATGAGAAATTGCTCTTCAAGAGTCAGTCAGCAGCGTATTTGTTAACCGTTTATTCACCACAAACAACTCAAACCTGCTACGGCAACAGGTTTTCTTTTGTAAATAATGCGTCTGCTCAAAACGCATGCTTTTATTTTTAATCTCCATGTTTCAATCAGTGAATAAACGCTGTGTTTTTGAACGTTCCTCTGTCTGTTGAGAAGGCAGCTCTAGTGGACACATGAGGAACTGCAGTTTCTTTGCATGTTTCTGCAGTTTCCTACCGGATCCGTTTGTGAGGCGAATTTTGTGGCGGATTACAGACAGCGGGACTCGCAAGATCTCACAAGAACCTGTGGATTCATGTTCAATCTCACGATAACGAGTTGTCTCTATAAAGACAGACACATAGACATATGAGCAGTAGATTGTGTCCTTCCAGAGGAGGAAATCTACTTCTAGACTTCTAGAATCAGCATCTCCTCATCCATGGTGTCATCGGGGTGAAATGACGTCTAAAAACCTTTCACTTGTTCGTCTCCGCCCGTTTGCATGGTGTGAAATACGATCCTCCTGAAACACGGAGTGTTTTATTTTGAAAAGAAGCCGGATGTTTTATTTTGTCTCTGTGCCCGACTTCCTTTCCAGCACGGGTTAATCTGTGCTGAATTTATCCAGCATGCTCCGGCGTCTGGAAAAATTAGAACTCTTGCGATCCGCAGCGGAGCGGAAAGACGCCGGTGGAAATTGACAAATTAACTTGAATGGTTACGATCAGCTACGGTCAGCGGATACGAGCTTTTCGTAGCCGTTCCGGATGTGGTGGAAATTAGGGGTCAAACACACTGGATGTGTGTTGAGCGCTCTGTGTCAGCTATGTTCAACTATGTTTCTGATCGCCGCAGCAGCGCACACAGGACACGTTGCAGCAAGTATCTGCTAAAGATATGCACCGAGTCTATTTTCTCTGCTCCACGCCTCCAACATGCGTCAATCTACACAGAGAAGATCGTTCTAGACAGGATGTCAAAAACAAAAACCACACATGTCATCTGGTAAATTTCAAAATAAAACACTGTGTATGGACTCCCGATTGTGTATCAGTTCGTGTAGATGAGAAATCCTTACTAGTTATGGATTTATCGTTCATATAGAACAATATCGACTATCCCGGATCTATGAGGACCACAACAGGACTTTCAGCTGCTAACTCTGTCTGAAGGTAACAGCACAGTAAAAAGGAACACACTCGTAAACCTGCACAAACCCAAACTGTAAAATCATGTTGCTTTTTCACGTATATCAGGAGCTTAACAGTCGCAGATTAAAATCCAAATTAGCAGAAAATTGACCGCAGAAAGAAAAAACAACCTGACTACGTTGTTTTCCGTTTACTGCTTCGCTCCAAACACGCTTCCAGTTGGCGATGACGGATCTGACGGAGCCTGGACATTTTTCCTATTTCCCTTCTTGCACGTCTACATCTGTTTTCTAACATCAAGGTTACCGAAAAGCTTTCCTCCTCGCTTTCACGACTAAAGTTCCTCCCTTCACTCGGGGGACTTCAGTGCCATCGCCGCACTGATCACTTGAAACAGAGGAAGGTGAGGATGAAGACGGACTCTTCAGATTCCTGGAGGTCAGTTTATCTTCTCACCCGCCAAACAAGGACCGGCCCTCCATCCCCTCTTGAAGCACACTGTTCCAGCTGCGTCCCCCTCCATGCTTGACCCGTCTGCTCCGACGCTAAGCCAGGGTCAGAGTTCACGGCTGCAGCAGCTCTTTTGCTCTCGAAATGTTCGGCGTTTCTTGAAGTGTAACTTTAGAAACAATTCAAAGTTCTTTGTCGCATTAACACACACGGTCCTTTAATCCCACACCTCATATAGCTTTATGAGCGGTTGGCATTACCTGGGGATGGAGTGTAAGCTCAGTGGCTGCAGAGGGAAATCTGTGTGTGTGTGTGTGTAGAGCTGTATGCATGCTGTCAGAAACCCTATTAATCCAAGAGTGTAACTCCAGGGACAGGAGGTAAAGCTTTGTAGTACCTGATGAAACAAAAGAAACCCCTGAACCCCCAAAGTTCAAATGGTTTGCACTCACTCTGAGCAACTCTCTCCCAAATGAAAAAAAAAGAAACACATTAAAATACGAGAAAACACGACTGCAGCAGAATCCGAACCAACAAATTACGACTCGAGCCTTGTTTAGGTGAGCAAATATTCATCCCATTCATCCGAGAAGTGTAACTTGTTTGTCGGTCTCATGCAGCATTAAGAGGGAACAGTTGGACTACATGGCTGTTTTAGGAAAATATTTGGATTTGGCTCTTCAATTTGGAGCCGTCGCCTCCGATGTGGAGGAGGAGATTTCCCAACAGTGATCATGTTGACACCAGAATTTAATTTGGACAAAGTGGGAGCCTCGGTAGATTGCCCGACGATGGCGCCAAAAGATGGAGGGAACAGTTGGTGTAGTAAATGTCTCTCCAAATCAGTCCTGGTAAGTTAGAGAGCCAAATGAATGGGAGTGCTGTTAATGTGATAGTAGAGATGTCTTTATTAAAGCATGAGCATTAATGCGCTGCCATTACAAACCACTACTTACAAGCGTGAGCAGATTTAGAGGCGTTACCTGAGGTCGATTGAGTAAATATGGCGCTGCAGGATTTCGCTCAGAGGGTGTCGAGACAGTTAGAAGAGAAGTGAAGTTCTGAAAGAAAGTCCAGTTTACAGAGTTTAGAGGAAACTGTTTAAGGTTTCAAACCTGAAAACCAAACAGTCATTTTACACAGACCTGTTCTGAGGTATTTAGAAAAATTGTTTTCACTGTTTTTAAGGTTGGCGAATGTTTGTCTTTTTCTGGATATTTATTTAAATAATACCTGGAAAAGTGCGCAAGAAAGGACTCTACAGAAGTATCAAACGCTTAAAAGTGTGGAGGGTACCTCAAAACGAGCTCGACACAGACTCTAAGTGTACATTTTTTTTTTTTTTTACATAGGTTAATACTTTAATACTTAATCTTTGACACGGACCTGACTCTGTCAGAAAACTGTATGTGAGGGCTGAAACAAAAGTCAAAAACACTGCCCTCTGTAGGCAGGGCCAGGTACTGCTTCCTGCCTTTATAAGGCCACGTGTGGGCAATCTTGGCAGAATAACGGGCGCTTAAAACGGAGGTAGACCGGACAAGAGCTAAAAAGCCGGGTCAACATAAACCATGGGGGACGCTTGGGGATCTTGGTGACCCTGTAACCTTTCTGCTGGACAGGTAAACCGCTTTAACAAAGTAAGACAAGTGTCTGTAACAGAAGTGTTTCTTGTCAAACGGACCTGCTGTAGCGTGTTGTAGCGCCATCGCTAAACTGTCCTCCCTCGGGTCCTGGACTATGTCACTTTATCCTCGTTGTAGAAGTCCTGCAAACATTGTGTTTGCTGGTAGTCTGTTGGCATCTACAGTAGCACCGATGCTTTTGACTTTCACCTTGACTGGGCCCCATTTGTAATGATCTGAAGTATTTATCTGCATTATATCTGAATTTAACTGGAACGATACAAGGGAGCAGGAGCGTCTGTTTGTGGGCGGGGCTTGAGGGGAAAACTGTTTGGGAGGGGTAGAGTTTACATTCAAGATTTCTCCTAAAAACTGGAACTAACTCAGATCCTGACTACACCACCTTTAACTGTAGTTCACTACGACTGCCAAGTAACACCCACTTGTTTGTTGGAGTAAAATAAGTTAATTTGACTCAAAGAATTTTAGTTGTAATATCTCGATTCAAAGTTATCTATACTGAGATACTTAAAGTACAGCTTACTCATATGATAATTTCACTTTAATTGACACAATGAAGTTATTTTTCTTACTTTTCCTGAGGTCATCGGGTTCCTAACTTCTTTAAAGTAAACTTAACTAGTTTGAGTTTAGAGTGTACCAAAATAAAACCACTTCAGGTAAAAGTTTTGCTTGATTGGAAAGATGAGTGATACCTCAAAGCCGTCCATATAATAAAGATAAAATACCCGGACCGGACATGTGTGGTTTACAATCCGTCATGTTCGGGTTCGGCTCCTCCGCTGTCAGACTTCACACCATCCTGCCTGTGAGAAAAAGTCCATCCCGACTCTGTTCCCCTCGATATTTTAAGTTATGAGGAAAATTGCATCCTCAAGGGGCCGCTCAGTTCCAGCCTTATTCTATCTGGATCTTATCTCACACCACTTGATTGATTCGATATTGGATCTGATATTGCATGAATGAGCTCAAAGATGTATAAGATATTTTGCGCTTTGATGAGAGGCTTTAGACTTTTCTGCCAATAAAACACCTTTGAATTGAAAATCAAATCAGAGAGTGAGGGTGAGAGCGATGTGCAGATATAATCGTCTCTCTGCTTTTATTAGCAGATGGGTTTGCCATCGGGCCGCACCATTGGTTTAACCTCCTAATCAGGTATCGCCTCGCTCGCCCCGCTGCTGCTGCTGCTTCAATTAAGGCCGAGAGAGACAGAGAGACAGAGGAATAATGAAAGATGGCGGCGCAGATGCAGGAAAATGAAAGTGGCTGACAGAGACAGATAGATGGAGAGATTCTCACGTATATGAAAGAGCTAACAGGAGATAAAGAGCGGCGACGGAGGCCTGGAGGAGGAGATTATTGTTTATATTTTTCATTTAGTCCCAGGTCTCATCATGTTTTTGTTTATATTCAGACTGTTTTCAGACTTCTAAACTATATACTTCTAATATTTTATTAAATCTCCATCTCTGGGGTGCTGCAGTGATGTTATTCGAGCTGAAATTCTTTCTTTGTTTTGTCAGTTTCACCCAGCATGCGTCGACGCTCACCTCCCATGACCCTGTGTCCTCGTTTGGGGACGCTACATTTAGGTTTACCACAACTTTATACTTATTTCTGCGCAACTTGAACCTGTTGTTTCTGTTTCAAAACACTTTAATGGACATTTATGAATTTAAGGAAAATAAACTGCATCATCTTTAAGTGGAAAAACAACTACAGGTATGAGATTTTTCGAAACCCCACGTCTTCAAACGCCACCTCAGCTGAGCTCTACCTGCAGGTTTTGACATTTGGAGTCCCTACAGAAGCTCATCAAACATGATGGAGACTCTCTGAAGTCCAGATTCAGGCCTCTGTCAGGACTCGGGTTCCTCCCTGTGCAGGTTTCTAGCCGCCGCAGTGACCCGCCGTGGAAATCCCCGTGTTCACTCTCTAATTGCGCCTCTGTAATGGATCCGCCTGGGTGAGTTCGGCGCTGGCTGCGCTGTGCTGCAGGCGGAGACTCCATCTTGGTTTAATGGGGACTTTGTCATTCAGGCCTGCAGCTCCCTGATGCAAACAGCGAGTACTTAACCGGCTTGCTTTGCCTCCCTCCTGTCTTTATTTTCTTCCTTATTTTGCATTCCTCGCTGCTCCCACCTGGATTATCCGCCCCTCGTTATTTCCTTCTGCCTGGTTTCCACCTTCCTCCTCATGTCTCGTGCATTTAGATGGTCTCTCTGTCGGTCTTACAGTCTTCCTCCGATCTTCCCCCGAATTAATTGAACGTTTTCCCAGAATTCCATTAACGAGGTTCACTTTTTTTTTTGCTGCTAAACAGCTGACATCCGAACCCATCTGATCCCCGGAGACAATCTGTCGATACTTAAGCTGTTGTTCGTCAATGGAGGACATGTGTTACACCTCTGGAAGAGAGTGGAAACTGAGGATAGATGGATGAGGAGAAGAAGAAGAAGAAGAAGAAGGTGAGAATCCAGATGTGGGTGAAGGAGAAAGACCAGGTCCATGGATCCTCCTCAGACTCTTCTTTCAGGTTAGCACATCTGCGAACGAGGCCCGGTGCGACTCCAAGCTGAAGGTTCGGATGAACTCGGAGAAAAAGTTGAAGGCGGTGTTGTGGAGGAAGATTAAGACGTGAGCTCATACGCAGGTGAAGGTTTTAAAAGGATTTGTGCAGACGCTGTATTAGCTGCACACACACAAACAGCCAGGAGCGGCTCTGACTCCTGAGATCAGGTTTGTTCTGTTTTTACCCTCAATGTATACAAAGTCCATTTAATCTGCCCAACAACCACCGATGACATTTTGAAGTCTGCGCTCATTTTCCTCCCTGAGAGCTGCACAAACAGCCACAGGCCCCCCCACCCCCAACCGTCAACCTCCCCGCTCCTCGGCTGTTTACTAAGTTTACATTGATGCTATCCCGCTCCGCTCACACCGCTGTAATAGGACTCAATACTTCAAGCCTCTGGCCACTCAACCAATACACCAAATCACTGAGTGGGAGCAGTGATAATAACAGCCGACGGTAATGTGCATGCAAGTGTAAATGTAAGAGAGAGAGAGAGAGAGAGAGAGTTTGTTCGTTTGGGGGGGAAATCTATATTTCTGTTTGGCAGATTCAGACCAAAAACAAACCTGCTGCAGAAATGCATGTTCACCAGGAAGCGCCGGGTCCGACGCTCTCACATGATCATTCTCAAACATCTGTGGACAGTGTGGAAGTGAAGTTATACAAGAACAGATCTGAAGTACAATCTCTGAGTTTGTGTTCTTCTCTTGAGTATGATTTAGAGTTTTGAAGTATATATATATATTTTTATTTTCAGGCTTTTTGTGCCTTTTCTAGAACAAACAGGACAGTGGATAGAGAAGGAGAAGAGCAGAAAGGAGCCCAGACTGTTAGCTCGAGGATAACCATAGACTTTATACTCTGTGGACAACTTTGCTCCGCCTTCTGTCATTATACGAATTTGAAGCCGAATTGCTCTCGGTATTTCATCAATTTTCTCCAATTATGCAATAAAGTATCATACATTTGGCGGAAGAGTCGCTGTGATGACGCTCGGCTCAAACAGCTGCACAATCTTCGTACGCCCATAGGCTGTATCAGGTGTCAATCATCGAAAACATGAACCCCCTAATAACTTTTAAAAACGGAGCTGTACAGAAAAAAGAGGACTTGAGCACAAACCAGTCTGACAGTAACTACATGTCAACATCACAACCAGGGGGGAGAAACATTTATATTCTGTGTCATTCATTTATAAAGTTTGTCCACAGCTCCATAGGGATTGCTGGAGGAGGTGGGATTTATGACCTATACTGCAGCCCGTCACCAGAGGGTGCTGTTCTTGCGGTGGCTTCACCCAGTGAAGAGGTAGACGGCGTCCATTCTATATACAATCTATGTAACTCAAGCATATATGGCGGTGCACATGGACTGTGAAGCAGTTACCGTATTTCCACCGCATTTCCAGAGCAGCTCCAAACCGGAATGGCAGCAATTTTCACGATAACAAGTTGTCTTTAGCCACATAGACTAACCATATAAGCAGTAGATTGTGTCCTTCCAGAGGAGGACATCTACTTCTAGACTTCTAGAATCAGCATCTCCTCATCCATGGTGTCATCGGGGTGAAATGACGTCTAAAAACCTTTCACTTGTTCATCCCTACCTGTTTGCATGGTGTGAATTTTGTGTTTTATTTTGAAAAGAAGCCGGATGTTTTATTTTGTGTCTGCGCCCGCCTTCCTTTCCAGCACGGGTTAATCTGTGCTGAATTTATCCACCATGCTCCGGCGTCCAGAAAAAATAGAACTTGTGATCAGCTGAGGAGTTCGGCGATCTGCAGAGGAACAGAAAGAAGACGGTGTAAATTGACACGTTAACTTGAGTGGTTACGATCAGCTATGATCGGAGGATACAACCTTTTAGGAGACGATCAGGATGAAGGTGGAAATTACTAGTAAGCTCCAAAACACGATGCATTTTAAATACAACTAACTAAACCAGCGCATCCGACTATCCCAACCTCTGACTCGAAGAAAACCAAACAGTTAAATTCTGCAATGAAATAAGAGTTTTTGAACATGTTTGAATAATTTTTTAAAACAGACATTCAGATATGAAAATGTGTCTGTCTGTCGTTTTAAGGACTCGGTCGTATCTCACAGGAGTTACATCTTCACTGACGATACACTTGAGTGAGTCGGCCTTGTGGTAGCGTGTTTACCCTCACTTTTGGATGGTTTCAGTTTTATGGATCAAGTCCTCGTTATAATAGCTGTCATGATAGGCTGTGAAAGTGTGAGATTTTCTTACCTCATCCAAACGGGTGATTGACGGCGTGACTCTCCGACCTTAAAAATCCATCTGTGAGCTTAACAGTGATATAGAGCAGACAAACACACAGACTGAAGTGTTTTTTGTGACCTGCAGGCCTTCCTCCAATAAAACTCTGAATATAAAACTCTCCAAATGGACAGATGAGCCGTTCCAGATCCCATTCTGACTGACAGTGTCGCCGCCGGCCCTCTTCTCCGTTAGCAGGAATGCCCTCCGCTTCTGACGGCGTTTGAAAATCTTCTCCTCAGTCGGGCAGGAAGATGAAGGCGAAGCCGTCCTGCCCGCAGAGCCTCTCCGCCTCAGGCATCATGTCGGAGAATTTGTTTTGTTTTTTCCACCTCGCTCCTCTTCTCTCTTTTTCTGCGAGTCCTTCGCCGCTTCCCGTCAGCAGAAATAGATACGCGCTCAGTGGGGGATTGGGGGTGCAGAAAAACACCAGAATATCAAAACCATCGGAGATTAGAGGGGGTTTATGGTTTGGTAAGCTTCTGATCTGCTGCTGCCTCTTTCTCCGTGCACGTGAGTTTTCTTGTAAAATCAAAAGAAGAAGAAATCTTGAAAGCAGCGATCAGCGTGAAGGGTGTCAAAATCTACTCCCCTCTGCACAGGAAGTTACACAAACAGAAAAAATGACACGACGACAGAGACAGCAGAACACATCAAAACCACCTGTCAGGTACACGATCACCAGCTACTCTCTGATTGGTCAAACCCCCTTGACAACGGTTGTTAATTCTGCATAGCAACAGCAGGGACAGCCGGATCACGCTCATTAATGTGCTGACCTCTGCATGTTGACACCCAGACAGGATTAAAATCAATAATCAGTAAATATTGATAACCATTATGTTGTCGCTGTCCGATAAAAAATACATATCTCCACTTACAGCGATCTGGACTTTTTTCAGTACATGCACGGTCCATAGGGTTTCCAAATGACTGATGAAAAGACATTTTATAACATCATCTTTATAACAAAGATCTCCATTGGGTGTCGGAAATGTCGACAAAGCACGTATCTGAGTTGTCATGTCGGCAAACAGACTTCACACTGTGACAGACTCATTACAGTCCAGAGTAACGCTACACATCGACTGATGCCGACCTCAAACCATGACAGTGTTGTTTATCTGTACGTTAGATTTACGTTAGAGCTGAAGTTCATCCCTAGAGGCAAAGCTGCTGTTTTCTCTCTCACACTTGTTGACTATCGTATCACTTAGTCGTGTTTCCACTATCTTTTAATTTGTTCACTGGTATTTCAGTGAAATCAGAACCAGAATTTTATTGAAAACCAATTAACTTAGTAGTATTAGAACTCATAGTACATTTGTAGTTGGTGTTTCAGAATACCTGCATCGATGTGGAAATGTAGGATAGTCTGCTATCAATAGTTCATCAACATAGTGGGATATAAACCAGATACTCGCGATCGTCATTGGAGCGCATTATTAAAAAAACACGTATGTCCACTATCACTCACAACGCAAAGCATGTAAGTCTGTTTAAGAATATCAAACAGGTCACTGATGATTTTGTAAATATAGATTTTGAATTAAGGTCCTAATTCAATCTAATTACAGTGTCTTGAGTTTATTCTTTGAGGTTGTTTTTTTAATGTTCCTGTAAATATATATATATATTGGAGATACGTGTTTTTTATTGGACAGTGATGCTGTGAAGGAGGGAACTGGACGAACAGCTGATAACCTGCTGAAAACCGAGAAAAACCCTGTGACAGTTCACGATATCATGTCTGAACCCTCATAACCTTACTTTATTCTCATGACACTGAAACTCTATTCATGTAAAATTATCATCTGGTAAAGCTACAACTTTAATTTCATGTTATAACTCCACTAAATAATATTTACCTATAAGCACTTGTCAAATTGGACGTTATCGTCATCCCAGTCTAATGTGGTGGGAAGGAGAGTGGATCTGCACCTACAGCTTTGTCAAAATATCCTTTAAACTCCCTAACCGGGACAGAACTGAGAATAGAAGAACCATTTAAAGAAGGAAACAAGAGAAAACCAGAGAAACATCCCAAAGTGGGTAAGAACAGAAGGATGATCGGATATATCATGTAGACATGACTGCAGCCAGAAATAAGGTTTTTGGATCACGCCGTCAAATTTGCTAAAGTAGGAATAAAAAAAACCAAATTCGGTGAAAAGTTCGGACGACTTTTTCATGAATTTCCGGTCACGTCAAAAGTGACCTTCGCCTCATTTTTGTTTGAGGGTTTGTCAGCTGCAAAGAGAGCTGAACACAGACGGACAGGTCGGCAGAAACCGTATCCACGCGGTCAAACGTCGCCATCACTGAAAACTTAAACGAGACTCAAACACACCGCGCTTCATCTTCCAGAAGGTCTCGTTTCTGAGGGTCCGAACTCTCTGGGATGGTCCTGGTGCCATCAGAAACACGGAGCATCTGTTGAAATCACCTGGCCGACCTTCCACCTCTTGGCATTCTTCTCCTCGCCCGGCCGTTCACACACTATTAGAGCGTTTACGCCGCGGGTAGAGAGCGAGCGGCTGAACTCATTTCACGGGTTAATTAGAACAAAAGGATCAGCCTTTCGCCGCGCGAGAGGCTTTCGATTATTGAAAGGTTGTGGCTCGCTCTCCTCCCCGCGGGCCTCCGGTGAGAGGACAGAGTATACCGGGCTCCATCACGCCTAAATGCCACCTATCAATCACCTGATCGCGCCTGGCCGCCATCATTAGCGTCCCGTGATTGAGAGGTAAGCTTCGTAATCATCCTCAGGCAAATGCAGAGTGAGGTTATTAATACGCTGCCTGTCTGCGGGAAGCGAAATGACAAGTTGGGTCAACTTTATGAAGTGAGAGAGAGCGGGTGGAGCGGAGGAGCCGAGCGCTGATCGACAAACAACGTGACAGAGATCAGACCCTGATGAGGTCTCTAACATAAAGACGAGGAGAAGGAGTGAAGAGTGTACAGTCTGCTGTCCTCCAGAAACGGGAACATAATGACTCAAGGTTCCCCGTCTTATGTTCAGCAGCTCTTATCTCAAACACTTCTGGAGTTTGGAGGCTACACATCTCAACAAACCAACACCAAGAGTGCTGCAAGAAGGTGATAAAAGATTGTGTTTCATACCTGGGGTTGACCTTAAGCGGCGCGGTAATGAATATCTTGTATCAACAGCGTGAACCGGCTCAGAGTGAGGCAGGAAAGAAGCCGGAGGCACGACTCACGACAGACGGCGAAAATCAAAGTTCAGCTGAGAAAGAGGCGAGGGTCAAATCCGGGAAATCAGGCAGAACAGGAAAACATCTGACAAGAGGCGGGCGGCAAATCCAAGGTCTAAAGATCAGCTGAGGTCTGTTCAGGCCACTGAAGTACCAGATATCAGACTGTCCGCTGCAGCGTGCACGGAAAGGTTCAGTACACGCAGCGAAAAAAGGAAACGGGAAATAGAGACGCCAGCAGCGTGTTGTTTTCTTACATGAGAACCGACCAGGTACTCTGAACAAGAGCCAAACTTTAATGAGAGTCTGATGTTCAGACGTCTGGACTGGATTTAGCTTCATGGTTACAGATGAAACCAGGAGAAATTGTTTTTATTTGATAAGACCGAGAGGATATTTACATCTACTGTGATGTTATATGGAAGAGCTAAAACCTGCAGTTCATCAAGTGTCCACTAGAGGGTGGATCCAAACATGTTGTACAAACAAGAGTGATTCCTTTGACTCCGTATATTTTGCACTCTTATTTAGAGTGACCATCCGTCGTCTTTTACTCAGACATGTCCTCTTTTTTGGGGGCTGTCCGGATTTGTCTCGGGGAGTTTATAAAATCCTTCAGATGTCTTCAGTTTTGAGTTTGTGTCGCGTGGACTTACTGAGTTAGAAGCGCCTAAAAAACACTCGATCCGACTGCAAAACTCTCAAAATTTACGACTCTGTGACTCCGCCCCTTTTTGGGAATTCAGTATATAGTCACCCTACTCTGACCGAGCATGAAGTGAGTGAGTTGTGTTTTTAATTCGTTAATCTGAATAATTTTAGCACCTGCCGTGAGCCTGCTTATTTATTTACTTATTTATCCCCTTGCATTAATGTATTTCTGCTCACTTTATCTTGCTCTTTGTGTTATTTGTTTTATGTATCATTGTACAGCACTTTGACTACCCTTGTGGTTATTTTAAAATGTGCTATAGAAATAAAGTTGATTGATTGATTGATTGAATTTGCATGTACAAATTCTAACGTTGCCTCATAAGGACTCGTGTCCAGCTGCGTCTTCACGTTGACTTTACTTGCAGTCGTGTAAATATCCCCTCCCTGTGTGAACACAGAAGCCTTCTCCGACTGAAAACTCACACTGAGTATCCCAACCCTCGGCACGGCTCACGGCAGAGTCTGAAAATAGAGATCAGCGTGTTGACGACCTTCGTGGCCTCTTGTCCATTACTGAAACTTTGGAAATTTAGAAGTTTTATATTCCGGCCTGCTAACAGCCCCGGACTAAACACCTGAGTCTGCTCAGTGTGGAGACCATCAGCCTGCACAGCTCTGATCCGCACAATACGACCATTAGACTTTCTCAGCATCTATTCATTGATCGGCTGCAGCCGAGATAAAGGTCGGCGGTTCACGGAGCTCCGGCCATTTCAGCACCTCGTCCTCCTCTTCTCGCTCTCCTCAGAAAAAACCAGAAGGTCTCCTGTCAGCACAACAGACTCTTTTCAAAAGCGAGTGGGAAGAGAAGTGAGAATGTGACCCTGATTCACACCTCCAGACTCCACACAATCTGCACCTCCTCTGAAACTCAACAATACCGAGAAACATCTGCTCACTCTCCACACTTATAAAAACACTCTCTTTATATTCACAGGCCTTTCATTAGCTTTTTGTGTCTTTTTTTGTGTGTGTTTGTGTGTGTTCTCGGGCTCTCTGCAGCTCTGAAATGACAAGACTCAAGGAAAACATTCAGAAGTCAAAGGCAGATAAGTGATTCAGGTCTGTGTCTCAGTTGGCCTTTGGAGAGGAGCGAGGATGATTAAATTCAGCAGAGGAGATAAATCCTCATATCCAGCACATTAACTCCCACAGAAGTACACAAACTTCATACAGAGAAACACATTATGGGGGCTGCAGAGTGTCAGCTTTAATAAAAAGAAATGAATAGCGGGTCAGCGCGTCTTCAGCCTGTAACTGGAATATTCTGTTTTAATAGAAATACGAGTCCTGACCCTCCTGAAGAAGAGAGCGCTGATGGTCTGCAGCTGTTCTCGCTG